TATGCAGCTCTGAACACAGATAACGAAATGTCAACAATAACATTCTCTCCTCAAGGTCCAATCTTTCAGCACTCTTCATGCCTCCATATAAGGAACACTCGCAGCCCGGATTTCCTAAATCAGATGTGAACTTCTACTACTTATAAGCTAGATAATCATTAAATAAATGTTTGTTTATTGCTAATTATAATAATTATAATATAATGAAATGTTTCATTAATCTGTGCTCAATGATTGAAGTTTGAAATGAATGTTATGTTATGATTACAGTGACTGAAATATGTTTCAGCATGTTTATATGACAAGGTCATAACCATTTGCACTCACACAAGGACAAAGTAAGGTTGAGTTAAACTCGTGACACATAAATAGCCTTTACCCAGATCAGAGCTTCTGGTATCAAAGAAAGCGTGTTTCTGAGACTCTTGGTAATATTCCTCAAACTTGTCAACCTCTGGTTGGCTACGCAAATCATAACATGAGAACCTTAAAACTGAATCACTCTGGGTGGTTCCTCAGTTCTAGAGAAAGCTTCAGACCGGCCATCACTCAAAACCCTCTTTAACCATCAAAGCTTTTGACACGTTGTCAAAATCTTTTTGCACCTGCGAAGCTGATAAAGCAAACAGTTCCTGCAGAACACGCTGATATTGTTTAGACTCCTTAAGAATCCCAGACACGCGGTTCCATCCATCTGTCGTGACCTGAGACATCTCTGGACTGGAGAAGTCGCTGCTGTGGTCAATCTACTAGACCTTCAGTGCCAGAGGTCATCCGACCTCTCTGACCTTCGGATCCACTAAGAGGGTCTCCAGAACGGGTGAAGTAGACACTGTAAGGTTATGAAGTTCATGGTTTTCAACTCCATACAGCTGGACCCTGGGCACAATAACACCGTGTAGAAAAACCAAGGTCGGGTTGTTCCTCAGACTGTTTACATTCCAGGAGAAGAGTCCGAAGGAGAAGAAGAAGCTTTACTTAATCAAAGTACTTTATTTGTGATTAAAATTATTAAGCAAAACAGATGTTGATCAACAATAATCAAGTGAATGATCTGTGAAATAAATATGTCATGAATTATGTTTAATGAAACCAGGACTACGGTGCAGACATACTGATCCTCATCTCCATAGAAACGCATGACACATTGTTACAACCAATCAGAGCTTTCGGCTGCCGCAGGAGAATCTGGTGTTGACTTCAAGTGTCCAATCCGCTTTACTACAACTTATCAACAATTCAGAGATATAAAACAAGGCAACGCCATTTTAAGTCAGTTCCATTTTGACTTCAGTTCTATTCACCATCATCCTAAAGACAAGCGCAGCCTGGCCGGATGCGTTTTCTTTAAACTAAGAACTGTGAAACGGGAGATTTTCGTCGTTTAACAACCAGACGACGTCTTTTCAAAATAAGAGCACCTGCTGACGCCGCTGAACGGTACCGGGTCGACCCTCCAGACGGGCTTTGAAACGTTGTGATCGCTGCACCGACAGCTCCACCGTACATCCGAGGTTTCCAGACCCGGCAATTCCTGATCTACCTGGGAGACCCCACTGGGTACGTACACGGCAAAATAGCGGCTCATGTCATCACTTTATAAGCCTCGTGATATCTAGTCATAACAAAGACGACCAGATTCGATTACGTCATCCTAGAGAATCTGAACCAGACACACACACTCACACACACGCACCAACACAACATCCGAATCCATTCTCATCCATCACAGAGTAGTCCTGGTAGATTGTTTAGAATTTATAATTCAGAAATTAAAGATTCTCAAACGATCCCATCTCTCTCTCTTTTCTTGTCTCAAAGTCAATACAGAGTGTTTAATTAAACTCCCTGGTGATAAAAACAGCCTATTCTTCTGTTTATAAAAAGTGAACTACTAACAGTGTATTAAAATACAACTTTAGATAGTTACATCACTTTGATTCCGTTACATATGGCGAGCCAAGCTTGATATCTGCACAGTTTATTACACTTTTTGCCGACTCTGAGACATTTTATTTGGGATTTTTAGTTCACTGTCTGTGTGTTAGAGAAAAGGGAAAAGGCGAGCGCTTCCTCATTCAGCTTTCAGAAAGGGGGGGTGCACATACATCACCCTCCGACGGGAGGCGCTGTTTCATCAAAAAACACCTTAAGTGCTGACGTGTGCTGGTGGCCATTTTGAGGCCTACATCTAAGGGTAAACATTTCTCCAGTTTTATTGCATTGGAACCGTCTGTTTATTGTTTGTCGTGGTGTTTGTGACACTGTGTGCGTCCATTTGTGTAATCGGAGACAGAAGACTCTGATAGCATCTGATATGTTTTTGATAACAACCAACTTCACAGCTTAACGCAAACCAAATTCTTTTACATCCAGAACTCAGATATGGAAGTTCTGACTAACACCGCATTCACAAATAGGTTCCTACATCACCTTTAGTTCCATCCATCACAGTAAATGCTTAGTTAACTAGTCATGTTTTGATTGTTGGTCAAATAAACTCTTACTTTTATAAACCTGACTCTTTTCTGAATCAAAACGAAGTGCGTACAATTCCTTAATAAATAAAGAATCCTAGAATCTTCTGATAAACACAGTAAAGACCAAGCAGGGTTGATATTCTATATTTAGACAGAGTATCACAGCTTATTGGTCATAAGTAGAGGTAATATATATATATAGAGCTCTTAAAGCACTCAATTTACCAAACCCTACACAGGATACCACAGAAAAGCGCTACCCCCTCTGGTTGTCCTAATGGAGAATCGCTTCATAACACTGACACCATCGGGAACGTTTAAGAAGAAAACATCTCTGTCAATGTGTATGTATGTGTAGGTGTGTGTGTGCCAACTTGTCTGAGCAAAACCTCCCTGAACCATCAGCAGGTGGTTTAAAGTACACCCACATCTCCCCGCTTCTCCACCAGCTTCAATGGCTGCCAGTCAACTTCAGGGTTCACTTCAAGATCCTGGTTCTGGTCATTAGGGCCTTACCCCGGTTTCACACTGGAAGCAACGGCAACTTCAAAGCGGTTCTTATCTTTTCTTTTCTTTTTCTTGTTCCCCCGTGTCCTGTCTGGCTGTGAAGCAAACAGATTTGATGTCTGAATGCTGGCGACAAGCCTTACAGATTTACTCTCAGGTGGAGCATCAACGCTTCTGCTTTAATACTTGATGCTAATATGCTTAGTGTTTTTTTGGATGCTTTATAACTCTGTCCAGACACAGAGACAGAGATGAAAGAGAAAGGAAGAGACAGGGGGGTCCACAAAATAAACACCCAATGATGAACAAGAGTCTGCTTCTAGACCTGCAGAAAGAGAAAAACAACACCACAGCAGGAGCAAGCTAGCACTGCGTCAACCTGATGTGGAAATTAAAAAAATCAACATTGTTTTACTGAACAATCACGATAATAAATCACAGTGCATTTAGTGCCAACCACAGCCTTAAGACATGTGTTGAAAATGCCCAAGTCCATACTTATGAGTGCACCATATGAGCACCTGTGTGTGTACACGCGCTTGTATATGTAAGGTTTCTCTATAGGAGCAGTTATTTTCACACCGAGAAAGTCGAGTCAGCAGCACGGCTTCCTCACTGTGCTCTTAGCTGGACTCGCGAGATCACATGATTCCTTGAGACTTCAGGTCAATGCAATTGTTTATGCAATCTGCCATTAAACCAAAAAGAAGGAAATCAGGTTTGATGTCGTATATGATGTTGGTCTTCTCCACTGCCAGGATTAAAGCCATGAACAAAACACCGCTGCACTTGTGGAATGATGCTTTGAGTAAATAAGCCGTTGGGTTACATGTAAGCTTCATATAAATGAAATTGCATCGCTATAGTACTTTTATTTTGAAAATTGCCGGGGGATTTTACACTGAAACAGTGTGATTTCCTGTCTAGCCCTATGTTAACTGTGGAAATTGACGTGTTCCAGAAGCGGCTCGTGGCAAAAATAGAACCCAGTCCCATCTTTAGCGTGCTGGTGTGAAACACTCCATAGACTATAATGGATTATATTTGAAGCAGTAGCATTCTGCTGCCGTTCCGCGCCGCTGATGCTTTCAGTGTGAAACCAGGATTACATGGACAAGCACCATCATACATGGGTGATCTTCTCAATCCCTACACCCCCAGCGGGTCCCTACAAGTCCAGTGACCAAAGCCTACTGGGTGTGCAGCACCAGGCTAAAGACCAAAGATGACAGTTAATTTGCTGCTGTGGCCCCCAGACTCTGGACCTCTCTCCCCCTGAGCCTGAGATCAGTGGACTTAGTGGTCTCCTTTAAAAAGCAGCTGAAGACTCACCTGTTCAGGCTGGTTTTTGCATGACCTTCGTCACCCTCTCCTTAGTCTGCTCTTTCTACCTATTCTGCTTTTTCACCGATTTCCCACTTTCCCTTTTCTCACATTTACTAATCACACTTTTTTTTAATCTTAATTATATTTTGAATAATTTTTTAAAATATTTTTTATATTTTGAATTTTTTGTTCTCGTGAAGCGCCTTGTTCTTTTATCTTGAGCGGCGCTATATAAAAATAATGTTCTTTCAAACTTACTGACAGAGTTAATTACAACTGAGTCTATAAACTAGACTTTACTAACCAACTGCATAGCTACGGCAGAGAAGAAAAATCCTGGCAATGTCCCTGCTCTGTTGTCATGGTTACCTGTGAAATTCTGCCTGTCAGCAGGTTTACTTATTTTCACAATATTCATACGTAGTTT